AGTGTTGAAGGAACTGATAAAATATAATAGCCTCAGACTCTTAGTTCATCATTGGCTATATTTGGAAGGCTCAGATCAGTGTAGCATCAGTGTATCTCTGGCCTCAGAAGGGTCATTCATCATAGGCCATCTTAGGTCAAAAAAGGAGCAGCAATATTCAGAAGTAGCTACTCTACTTTCTACCTAATTCTTGTATTGTACAGTAGGGTCAAAACATAGGCAACCGTTAGTTTCTTGTGTATATATCATTGTTCTGCATCTTGTAAATCAGAACTAATGCAATACAATTCATTGTTCATCATATTTACTATCTGAAATTCATCACCCCGGTTACAGTTGCCAATCTCGGACCGGGTTTCGACTCTCTGGGCTGCGCTCGGAGATTTTGTTACTCTTCGGGTAGACCCGAGTGTCCACCCTGATGAGGTATCCATTTCTGATATATCTGGTGCCGGTTCCAAGCTTAGCAAGAACCCACTTTGGAACTGTGCGGGTATTGCAGTCATTGCTGTTATGAAGATGCTTAATGTTCGATCTGTTGGGCTATCGCTTTCCCTTGAGAAATGCCTTCCCCTGGGCAGTGGCCTCGACTCTAGCGCTGCCAGTGCTGATGCCGCTGTTGTTGCTGTAAGTGAATTGTTTGGTGGGAAGTTACCTGTGTCCGAGCTTGTCCTTGCCGAGCTTGAATAGGAGACAAAGGTATCCGGTTATCACGCGGACAATGTATGGGTGGATTTGTTTTAATTAGAAGCTATGATCCTCTAGAGCTGATGCAGTTGAAGTTTCCCCATGAAAAGGACCTGTTTTTCGTCCTCGTAAATCTGAAATTTGAAGCCCCCACAAAGAAAATGAGAACTGCATTGCCACTGGAGATTACAATGTCCCACCATGTGTGGAATTGCAGTCAGGCAGGGGCATTGGTTGCATCAGTGTTGCAAGGAGACGTCACGGGCTTGGGAAAGGCTCCATCATCGGACAAAATAGTGGAGCTACGGAGGGTGCCATTGGTTCCAGGAATGGAGGCTGTGGAGAAGGCTGCTATTGAGGCTGGTGCATTTGGATGCACAATTAGTGGGGCAGGGCCCACTGCAGTGGCTGTGACAGATGATGAGGAGACTGGCCGAATAATTGGGGAAAGGATGGTGTAGGCTTTTATGGAGTTATTGGAATTTGTCAATGAATTTCCAGTGATATTGCCTTCCTTCGTCTTCTGAGTTTCTTATTGACGCATTGATTTGATTAATCCCCCACCCGTACAAACAGGTCATTCTGGACAGTTTGATTAAACAGTTCCTGCTAAAGGTTTTACATTTGCACATGACATCCGGATGTTCTAGT